ATGAGTTCTTTTGAATAAAAAAAAAAAAAACAATCTTATGATTTATTATGAAAATCTGACGGATCATCTGACCCCTTAACAGAAAAGGTCTGCCCAAATTCAGCCATAACAGGCTCTACACAGAGAGGGTTGAAATAGGAGAGTAATTTCTGCTGAATTTTGATAAACTCTTTTTTTAATGCTTCACTCTGGTAATTAATTCTTTTTACCAAAGACTCGTCTTTAAACACAGCAGCGGACAAAGCTCCCCCACAGACTCTGCTAATGGCTCATTGATAGCAAAGCAGATATGACGGATGCTGTGAGTGTGGAGGGGGTCTCACAGCATCAGATTAACAGATTGTATGTTTGAGGTACAAATAGAAGCGCTTTCCACAGAAACAGGCTAAAATCAAAGACTTCAACGGATCCACTGATTTAGCAAAGACAGGGAATTTCCCAGGAATGTCTGGAAACCACAGCAACAAGCTAAGAAACAAACATCCCTGTTTATAAGGTCCGGAGTAACACCTCTTGTGTGTGAATGATTATATGTCCCATTGCACATCAAACACTGGAGGTGTGTTGTGTTTCAGGGTGCGATCAGTGAGCTGAGGGTGGTGGGAGACCCCCGTGCTGCAGAGCGGCTCTGCGAGGAGGACGATGACTCGGATATGGTGAGTTCAATCTAATCACATTTTTGGAGATAACTAACTGTATGCATTTCATTTTCTGCTGCTCCTCTGATGGAGCAGCACATGTTTCGTTTCACAAGGTTAAGGAAGGTATTTCTTGTTGAATAACATCTTCCTGACTCTAAACTCAACATAATCAAGTTAAAATGTCCATCTGCTGAAGCTTAGGCTGAGCAAATAACCCCTACTGTAAATATGATGCAGGACAATGTATTACTGCTTCTTCAACATTTACTCGTCAGTTAATTAATCAGTTAATTTATTCATGTGTGGATTATTTACTAATTGTGCAAATGTCCCAAAAAATAATTGAAGATGAGATCCTTATTTTTGGGGTAGGGGGTGTGGGGCCTGACTTAATCCATATTCGATAACATTATTATTATTATTCTGGTAATATATATACATATATATATATTTTTTGCTACATTGTAAGTTAGGTCTTTTTTTATTCAACCGACAATGTCTGATGGTTGATGCCTGACCCAGAGAACCAGGAAATCTCCTTTACTGAATCTATCTTACTGTTTGAAGTAGGCTAGAAGATAGAATAAAGCAGTGGTTACCAAAGTGAGGGGTTCACCCCCTAGAGGGGGCTTAGGGTAATTGCAGGAAGAGGAATTGTAGCAGTAAACTGAATATGTCCAATTTTAAGAGACAATTGAAAAATATATTGATGGAAATGAGGAATTCTGTTAAATAATAAAATAAATTTTTAGAATAAAAAAAGATATACTTTCAAAGGGGAGATTGTGTGATTTTAAAGGCGACTCTAGTTTATTTTAATGCAATATGTTTTTTTTCTACAGCTGACCTTTTTGTGTTAAAATTTCAAAACGATTTTTTTGGAGGATTTTCCAATTTATAAAGATGTTCTAGAAACAAACTAACATCTATCATTAAAAAAGATATTTCAATAGCTTTGGATCTCTAGAGAACCACAGCAGAACCATTTTCCATAATTCAAGAAACCATGAAACATTGGTGAACCTTCCCAGGAATGGCCTGTTAAACATCGCTCTAAGAGAGCATTTTAACTAATCCAGGCATTCACAGAAGAACCCAGAACATCAGATAATGCTCTGTTGGCTTTAAGTACCCCATTTTAGTCACAAGTTATAATTCAATAAAATAGAGACTGGGAAAAAGTGGGCTTGATGGGGACAATACTAAGACCAGGACCACTGATGACCAAAAAGAGATGTCTGACATTTAGCAAAAATAAGTGAAAAATGTTCTCTGGACTTATGAAACAAACCCAGACCTTTTTTGTTAAGCATGTTCCTTCATATCAGGTCTAAAAAAAACAAACTTTTTCAAATAAAGATAATATGCCTTATTTGAGGCACGGTGGTGGTATTATGATGCTCTGGGGCTGCTTTGCTTCTTCAGGACATTGGCGAATGGTGGTTTCTTCAGGTTTTTTCTAAAAAAATGTGGCTTAAATAAACAATTCTAAGTTGGTTTTGATAAATTCTCTTTATAAATAAATTAACATTTGAAAAGTGTTAATTAACTCAGTTTAATTGATTTACTACATTTGTTCCATGTTCATAAGCTATCAGTGAGACGGATGAGCAAATCAGAGCATATTTTTAGGGATTAATTCCTTTTACACATGGATGTACAATATAATTAAGCCACCATGAAAATTTGAGGCTGTGTATTTGTAAGAATTAGCAGAAGATTAGAAACTTAAAGTATTTCCCCCGCTGTTAGAGAGGGGAGCTCTCCTGACCCTGACCACCCACACTCAAACACAGGTGCTTCACCACAGCCCACCAACAGCCTGAGCTGCTATTTAATGAAACAATCGCAGCTGTTCTGCTTCTTAAAACCACATTAAACTCCTCCTGACTTCATCACCTGCTCTCATCATATGTTGAGATGTTTAAACAAAAATCAGGAAGATATGAAGTGTTAGAAATAAACTTTTAACCTTAACAATCATTATTATTATTATGTGTTTATGAATACTAACAGGGAAAAAAATGATAGATTTATAGCTGGTTGGTCCTGAAACTTTTATTAAGGTACATCTTTCTTAACCAGGGGCATTTATACAACAAGGGACAAACACCAGAAAGTTATTTTTCAGAACAGCATGTGACCCATAACTTACTTTTTCACTCAACGGCCCAATTCTGATCTATTCACTTAAAAACCATAAGTATCTGTAAGTAACATTCTGATGAAAGTCATTGCCTTTGTAATGGATTTGTACTCTTAAAAATAGGTGAATTACAATAAGTTAATTTTTTTATGAGCTTTAGAGCAATTCAATAATTTAGTGCAAAAACTAATCTAAAAAAAAAAGTACTAAATTCTTAAAATAAGTGTAATTGGCCTTAATTAGGAGCTTAAATGCAGTTTGCCAATGGAATGAGTGCACTTTCCTTCATAAAAAGATAATTACATTCAAATAAGATAATGGATTGTTTGTTTCTTATTTCTAACATACATCATCTTATTCTATTGGCAAACATGGGAAAATACAATTATTTTATGAATATTTTTACTTAAATATGTTTGCTTTTGCATTTTTTTTATGACTGGTTAGTATTTTGTTTTCCACCAGTATTCTTTGGTGTTTTTCTTCATATCTTGGAGGTTGAAGATTTCCTTCCTATTTCCCTGATCTTACCGATGCGATGCAAGTCCCTTCAAGTTAGAAGAGACATCTTGGTCATAAAGGATTATTTTAGACAAAAAAAGATGGGATAGGAACATAGATATAAATACAGCAATATGCACTGCAAAAACAATCTAGAAATAAGCAAAATGTCTTAAATTAAGGGCATTTAGGTAAATAAGATGATTTTCCAATGGAATAAAAATAAGATAATTAGATAATATGCACTTGAAATAAGACAATGCAGTTGTTTTTTTCTTATTTCACCTCAAAAACACGTATTTTGAGGAAAAAATGACTTATTTACATTGCATTTTAATGCAGCGTGGCAATTAGAACATCTCTGAATATGTTTATCAGCCTTATGCTCAAGATGCAGTTATTTTACTGCAAAGAAAAATGTTTTGTAAAGCATGAATTAAACATGTGATTGGCTTCCGCAGGCTTCAGGAGAAGGAAGTGGCTACGAAGAAACCAGACACGCAAATTCTCACAGAGAGAAAGAGCAAAACATGGTATGAAAAGTTTTTTTTTTGTGTGTGTTTTATTATCCAGAAACATTCACCCTGCTTGCTTTAAAACTTCATCAGATGTTAGGAGGTGATTACATGAAAGCACATTGATGCTTAAGGCAGGCCGGCCTGTATATGTTATACATAAGTCATGGACAGCAGTATGAGCTCTGTTATTGGTGCCAATGAAGCCTTGGGTTATTCTGTATAAGTGAAAGAACACTCATCCCAGAAGGAAGATCAAAACCAGCTGAGTTGGTTCCAGAAAATTGAGCTGAGTCTGTCTTCCACATTTGGAAACTTTTTTCCTTGCCTACAAACTAAAATAAGTTTTTTACACAGATAAGATCCTCTCCCAGGATCACTTGCTCTCTGTTTTTAGCTGCTGGTCATTAAGCCTCCCTGACTTTCACAGCCTTTATCTGCATGTTTGTCTCTTTTTATCTTGATTGCTTCCCTCTCTCTGCTTTGTGTCCCTTGCACTTTCATGCTGCAGACACCCACTCACACTCAAGCACCCAACCTTTTCCAGAGATGTTCCTGAAGACTAGCACAGCTTCCAAAAGTACAAGTGAGCATAATGCATTTGCCCCTATAGATTGTAGGAAAACCAGATGTAAATTTGGACGTGATCCGATCCAAGTTGAAGGCTCCCCTCACCCCCAGGTTTTGGTATTTCCTCTGGTTTCTCCATTAATATGCATTAAGGAACCAATCGCCGGGGAAATAAAGCCGCAGAGGAAAGTTTTAGGTTAAGGTCAGGTAGTTCATTTGGGACGGCTCCTCTGGTTTCCTCGCTCTTCCCCAGCTTTTATGAGGATTCTCTTTCTGTCACCCTTGCAGACGTCTGTTATCAACTTGTCGAATGATATGTAATGTTAGAGGGAACAGCTGGTGTTTAATGTCCACCTGCCAAAGTTTTTCTATCTGATGAGGATCTGTTCACGCATCTCATCTCATCCTCTGCTCAGTCATCCAACCTGTGCAATTAAGACAAGTCCAGACAGAGAGCAGTCAGAGGCGGAGAGCAGAGGTGAGACTTTCCATTTCGTCTGCCCGGAATTCACGGTGATGGATGGCGGAGCGAGTTTTTAACGGTTCACTGCTGGTTTAGAGAGCCCCCTTAAGCGTGATCCCAAACTGTGCATGCTTTGGGACCATCATTAGAAATCACCATGGTTTATGAATTGTTGCAACATCATGTGAAGGCTGCTTTACAAATGGGAGAAGCTGCCAAAGTTAAGAAGCTATTTTTACATGAATAGTTAATAACACGAAAGACATGAAAGTAAAAGTTCGGTCATATTCAGAATACAAACTTCTGAAAGTGCTTAAATTATTACATACTCTTTAATAAATGATAAGTAAATAAGTTATCTTTAATAAATGATAAGTATGTAAGTTCCCATTGATTTTGCTCATAAAGCGGGAAGAATGGCGCTAGGCTTACCACACCGTTGTCAGGAGTGAGGTGTTACTATATTTGAGCAAAAAATGGCCGTTACTGGACTTAATAATCATGACAAAAAATTGTATTTTTATCTTTTTACTGATTAACACTAAATTTATTAAATCAACGCGAATGTTTCAGTTTTAGTTACAAATAATGATCCATTGATTATTCCTTGTTGACCGGAAAATAATGAAATAATTGAACACGGTAAAGAAGAAGGGAGGAAGGTAGAGTATCTGTTTTAAAACTGGAAAAACTTTGTCAGTTTTTAAAGATGTCACATGTCATGCAATATTACTTTTCTTAGCTTCTAACTATGTTATAACAGTATTTGTTTATCAAAATCAACCTCAAACTGTTATTTCACTTCAGGAAGAACCTACCTTAACCAGGCTGGGCCTGCACTGTTAACAAACTAAACTCTCTCCGATCAGGGAGGAGGAATAATGTGAGGTTGAGTGAAATTAATCTAGCTGAATGTTAAGACAAAGGGATATTTTCGAGAAGCTAATATGCACTGGTCAGAAACTTGTATTTTTTAGTTAATGTCTAAGTAATGAAAAACTTTTTTTGGCCATGAGAGCTCTCTGAGAGGCAGCTTCACAATGAAAACAATGATTTCAGGATTGGAAGAAAACAGCTATATTTCATAACACATTTATATAAAAGGTATTATTTAATCATATATTTAGCTTTAAGTGAAGTTGACTTAAGAAGGATGATATAGACCATTTATTGCAAGTAGCAGATCTGTGATGCAGAGCACCTGATGCTGTTCCAAAGAACCAAGGAAGTTTGTCACAGTAGATGGCGTTTGGACGTCTTTACAATGGAGGCATTGGTTGAACGAAAACAGGGCACCTTGGGCAGAAAACTGACAGTTCTTTTGAATACTGACAGTATTTTTCTACTGGATAATTATTCTGAACCTATGACAATGCTGAGACAGAAAAGGTTAGACAGAAACTAAATCAACTCTCTTACATGATCACTCTATGTCCCAAAACTATACCCTGGGGGGCAAACTCTGGGCTGAGCTGAAGAGAAACAAATGAGTGAATTCCCTCTTCAGTAGATAATTAAGCTAACAGAGGCCTGATAATGAGCTGTTTTTCTAACTCAGGTGTTTTAGAAACGAGATGGATATAAAGGTTGCATGATAGAAGCTCTAAAGAACATTGCGCTAACGTTAAGGTAACCTCCATTCCTTTGTACTTAAGCCAAGGAGAACTTTAGAGACACCTAGAATCTGTCCTGTGTTCAACAAAGCTGATCGCCTGGCTTTATTGTTCTGGTTGGAGCATAACGGTCCAACAGTTTTGTTTTGGAACATTGTTTTACCGAACCAAAAAGTTGCAAACCTTTAATGAAGGATGTTCTTTTTCGGGGTGGATCATCAAAATAAGTGGTCCTCCTAAGTGTCAATCAATCTGGTGATATGTTTACGGAAGGTCGTCTTACCGGTGAGTCTGACATAGTGGAAAAAATTGCAACTCTTCTTTTGGAAAGTAAGCTTGTATGAGCGATGCAAACAGCAACTTTTAAACTGAGGAGAAATGGGCTTGTGTATGCTCTTGCTCACTTTTAATAGGCGTTTCATTTCGGGAGCGAGTACAGTGCTGTACATGTGTTGTTTTTTTTAAGTGGAGAGGGCGGGTCTTTTCAAAAATTTGGTCAAATCCACCACTATATACATTTAAGTAAACGTCTGGAGCATTTCTTTCTTCAGAATGTCCGGACGAATATTGGATTACTGCCCTGTGGCACACCTATGGAAATGCATTCTCCTTACTTTGATTTACTCTTACATTTTCTCTTAGATTTACAGTGAGCACATTCCCCAACAGTATGTCTAAGCATCTCCCACCTGTCATTAGCAGCCATGATGGATTGTTTCAGTGAGCAGAGCATTCCTGATCACAATAAATCTCAAATCAAGTTGAAAGAGTGAGAAATGGCCAGGAAGCATTCTTAGTTCAGTCAGTGCCGTGCAACACGGAGCAGAGAATGTTTCCCTGCTGAGAAACACACTTAATTATCAACACTGGCATAACATTAAGGCTTTTGGGGGGGTCTTCATCTTCTTCTCCTCTTCTTTCTCCTCTCTGAAAGTTTCTAAACTCTCCCCTCTTTATTCCAAATGAGGTTTTGGGAACAAAGTGAGAACGAAAATCTGCTGCTGTTGTTCTCATTTCCTCCCACAGGCCTAATGAGTTTATAGGTTGGTTGACTGGAGACTGAAGAACGTTACCACAGTGTGATTTCAGAGAGTAAACATGAGAACAATGAGTCAAATAACCCAGGGTATGACTAATATCTTCTACAGTGTGGCCAGAATCAAGGGAAGCCACTAAGGAGGAAACAAATCACACAGAAACTGTTGCAAAGGTTGCAACATTTATAAGGTCCTGTTTTAACAAAACCTTTATCAACTTCATGTTCTGTTTGTTTTAGGTTTTTTTTTTCAGGGAACAAGTTGCCTATTATATTAACTGACTCATCTATGATGGAATAGACCAGTTTTTGATGCCTTTTTGGTTGGAAGACCATCAATTTTAGCCTCATGTCTGCCGGTTTAATCTGTATTTGTGTGATGGAAAACAAACAGTATTGTAGACATACAAAAAACATAAAATCAGCCCCAACACCTGTTAAAATCATGTGTTTTACCACATAAGATCATTATTATAAAGGTTAGATGGAGGTTGGTTGAGGATCCAAAGACATATATTAGATCTTGCAGGTTTAATTAAATCAAAAGACAACAGACAAAATCTAAGAACCAAAAATGCAGGAAACTAAAAACCAGGAGACATCAGGGGAAAGCACAAATGGGGAACCAAGTAACCACAAGAAACAAGCAATAAAGAACTGCACAGCGAGAGTATATATGGGAGACAGGACAAAGACTGAGGTAACCAGCTGATATGGAGCAGGTGTGGATAGAAGTGAGCTAGGGGAAAGGAGACAGGCACAAGGGGGCAACAGAGACTAATTGTATCCTTCCATTTTCTGTCATGCTTATCCCAAGAGGAGTCATGAGGTGTGCTCATGCCTGTCTCCGGCTCTCTACAGGCGAGAGGCAGTGTCCATCTAAGACAGGTTGCTAGTTCACTGCAGTGCAACACAGAGACAACCAACCAATCACACTGACACTCACACCTAAGGAGAACTTAGAAAAGCCAATTAACCTAACAGTCATGTTTTTGGACTGTGGGAGGAAGCTGGTGTACCCGGAGAGAACCCACGCATGCTCAGAGAGAACATGCAAACTCCATGAAGAAAGACCCCAGGCCAGGAATTGAACCCAGAAGTTTCTTGCTGCAAGGCAGCACTGCTACCCACTGCTCCACTGACAGAGAGTAACTCAAGACTGCATAAATACACAAAACCAAAGATCAACAAAGCAGAATGACATATATAACTGAAAACTCAAAGTCCGAAGGGGAAAACCATAACATTAAGATTTTGACGTGAGAAATATCCTGTACAGATCTCCCAAGCAGAAATGAAATAAGGCTGGAAAACACTTAGAATAAATTAAAAAGCTTTGTTGGTACTCTAGACATTTGATGATTTCAGCATTCAGCCTGCAATCAGTTCTACTCCTCATATTTATCCAAAATGCAGTTCTAGTTGAATTTTCTCATCATCCTTTCTATCCTTTTTAGAATAAGATCCCATAGAGTAAATATAACTTTTGGATCATAAAATGTTGCAGTGAAACCAGAGTTGGCATCATAGTAAAAATAAAATATCTCTTTAATTTCTTTTATGCAACTTTTTACATTACAGTGCAATTTGGTCTGCTGCTTGTACCTCATCCTGTAGGAAGGAGTGGGCAGCCTCTGTGCAGCGCTAAAAGAGCACTCTGAGGCTGAGAGCTTTGCTCAGAGAAAAATGTTGTCGGATTTCATGCAATGATCTTGCAGACTTCTCAGAAAGCAAGCACCTTGCTCCAACCTCCACCAGACCACAGCTCCCCTGCAATCAGATGGAGCCCTCAGTTTGAAATGTATAAAATAACTTTATTGCTGGAAGAAAATATATTATCTAACAACTCTTTACTAACATCCTAGAAGTCAGATCTGGAGAGGGTTTGGTGTTTAAAGTTGGTAAATATTAATGAGTCAAGATTTGGAACGCTGACAAACTCCAACTCAAATACTGAATGCTTGGATTGAACCTTCAATAAAGCATTTTAATGGTACACACACTTTTTTCACCCCACATTTTATTGCTCCTCTGAAGGAGTTTTAGTTTTTAGCTGAATTATCAATAAATAAACATCCCATTGAAGCTGAAAACTTGTAATATTTAAACAGAGTACGTTGTAATTCACATTCAAAGGTTTTTTCTTTCATCTGCTGATGATCTGAGGATCATATTTTTTGGTTCTGTGTTGCTTCCCAGCCTCGGCAAGGTAAACATAACGTTTTGCAACACATGCAGGGTTAATTAGCAGCAAATGAAGGAAAACAGGCGGCGTTAACTGCTCCAGTTGTGCGTGCCATGTTGAATCAGTTGTGCTGTGAAAAAGCATGTTGCAGAGCTGGGAGACATTTGTAAAAGTTTGTACAAGCAGAAACCCCTTCCAGTCCCCAAACATTTAAGTAGTTTGTAGAACATGACTCATTTGGGTTTGTGATTGATGTTTACAAGGAAAAACTTTTTTCCCATGATGGAGCATTGTTTACAGAGGCTTTTCTCAGTGGGAGGTCAAGATGAAGCTGCAGAAGAAGGAGCAAACCCACCATGCATCTACTTTCATTCTAAAAATGTGGATCTGTGTTTTGTTTTTTCAGCAGAAAGCCTTGGCGTCTCTTACACCTATCCCACAGCCACCACTGGACAGGAAAGGAGAAGAGGGAACCTTCTTAGAAACAGGTAAGCTTTTACACAATTTCTTCCAATTTCTGACACTACTGTAAGTAGATGTGAATGAGTACTTTTCCTACATGGGCCTCAAATATCAAAGGTATTCATTTGGAGCTGCTGTTTGCCATCAGTTAATTTTAAATAATCACTGGATTTTTCAACTTGATTAAAAATAATACACATTAGTGGCTCTAAAGGTATGGTTTTGTTGTTTCACTTCTTTGAATAGATTAATTATTTGTGACAGCATGTGGCGGTGCAGACAAGAGCTGCAAGAAATAGATTAGCTGGTAAATGGCGCCATCTGGTGGATTTAATGAGCAATGCAGCAGAAGATGCTTGACTAAGACTATATGTAAAAAAAAAAAGAAAAAATTAAATCCCTTTATTGTTTCACCAAGGGGAAATTCACTCTCTGCATTTTGACCCATCTCCTTGGGGAGCAGTGGGCTGGCATCGTGTGGCACACGGGAGGCAGTGTGCTGGGTTAAGGGTCTTGCTCAGGAACCAAGACTTGAGGCTGTGGGTATCGAACTGGATACTTACAACCTTCTCAGAGCACAAGCGCACTGCTCTAATCACTAGGCCACTACTCCCCTACTGACAAAACAATTTAAATTGCTTAACAAAAAATGTTTTGCATATAGCAAAACATAGCAATGATATAAAAAATAAAATGAGATTTAGGAGTGTTTCATATAGATAATCTAAATTTCAAAACGTTACATGTTAAAACAAACATGGACAGAATGTGCATTTCAATAAAAAGTGAAACACCCTCAGTGTTAAATTAAAGCAATGTCAAAGAATGAGACTTTAAGAAAAGACTCCAATTGATTTTCCTAAAAATATATGAAATGGAAGAAGGGTGGTGAACATCACTGGGTTCACTCAGTCACTCAATGGGTGCATACATATTTTTGCTGTGATTGTGGTTGTGTGGCCTATGGGTAATAATTGTATAAATGAAGATGAGCGTAGGCATGTTTGAATGCATGTATGTATGTTTATATGGACACAAACTTTTTCATTTGTTCACTTAATAAAATTTTGAAATTGTATAGATTTATAAGTCAAATAGGAATCAGGATTACTGCTGGTCTTATGGACTACATGAAAGGTGAAGGGGATATGATTAAATAAGTTTCACTTCCTCACACCCGGCTTCAGTTAACCACTAAATTATAATTAAAGTAATTATATATGTCTTTAATCATTTAAATCATAATTTTAGGATTACAAGATTAAATTCCTCTTATATTTGAAATAGTTTCCTCTAAAACAGGTTTTATTTTAATACTAAGGAAGCGATAAAACCACATGATTATTATTTAGTATTCATGTAGTACAGAAACATGGGCTGCAGCAGGCCAGCAGTTTTATAAAAATGGCTTTTTTTATGTAAATCTAAACTTTTTTAGAGTCAACTTCTTAGGGGTTGAACAACATAAACAAGGCTTTTTGCTGTTGCTCTAAAGTCTAGCTTCATTGAGTCCATTCCTATCGATTTAATGTTCATCATTGTCTCACTCATCCCAGGAGAGGAAATCCTAGCAAAGATATCCTAGCACAGTTATTGTAGTGCATTGTATTGAGAAATTACCCCAAACCCCAAGAGCTCTATCTCAGTTTATGCTGCTTAAAACGTGTTTGTTTTTTTTTTAGGTAAGGTAGGATAATAATAAAAAAAAAAAAAAAAAGCTACATGGCTGTTTAACCCGAGTTTGCAAAGTTGCATTAGAAAGGGAGATGAAACCAACATAGATGTTTGGCAATAAAGTTCAGCACCACATTGCCAAGAGGACTGATCAGTTGGGCTGAACTATTTGTCTTGCATCCAGTGGACCATCCATTAAACTCGCCTGTATATCAAATTATTATAGAGACAAATGTTTGTTCCGTCAAAGCTCTGCTCAAACTGGATCATCCGCAGTATCCTGATCTCCAACACAGCAGCTAATGATACTATAGAATAGCTGAAAACGAAAACAGTAAGGCTGCTGCTATGGTTTAGTCAAAGTCAGACCTCAACTTGATGCTTTGATGAACCATCAGAGAGTTGTGCAGGAAAAAAAATGCAAACCTTTTACAACTTCAACAATTTTGGGGAACAAAATGGAACAAAAATGGGAGAGACGGACAGAAAATGAGTGCTGAGAGTTGTTTTCTACACTTACACTAGTTAAAATATAACTAGTAATTGATCCCTTAGTAAAGGCCATATTGCTCTTGTTTGGTCTTGAGTTTCATAATTCATAAAAAGGAATTACTATTTCACTTTTGACTAAATTCTTTATGCTCTTTGTTAAAGCAGTCAGACAGGTTGGTCTTTGGTCAGAGGACATATAGAACAGAACATTTTGACTAAGGGTGTGAAATGGCAAGAGTTTGGAGATGCGATAAGTATCCAGATACAGATACAAATAGAACAAGTAAAAAAACACGAAGTAGAAATGTACCAGGTGGAAAAAGAGAAGGAAATAAAAGGGCAGGCTTAAATCCTTTGGCTAAAAAAAAAAATACAGTTAGAAAAGTAGAAATAAATCATTGTTTCAGAAATAGAAGGTTATAATAAAGTAGAAAGAATTATTTATGGTGGAGTGAATATTTCTTTAAAAATGCTGTTTTAAAATACAAAGGAGAAATAGACGAAGTGGAAAAAGATGAAAAGGAAATGAAAGAGCAGGAGAAAATCCTTTGGGTAAAGAAACAGAAAAGTTAGAGGCAGAAATAAATAACTGTTTACCAAATAGAAGGTTAAAATGACATAAAAAATGTATTTTTATGGTGGAGTAAAAACATGCTTTAAAAATATTGCGTTGAAAATAAGAAGTAGAAATACACAAAGTGGAAAAAAGAGGAGAAGGAAATAAAAGGGCAGGTAAAAATCCTTTGGGTAAAAAAAATAGAAAAGTTAGAGGCAGAAATAAATCATTGTTTCAGAAATACAAGGATGTTAAAACAAAATGAAAAGGAATATTTATGGTGAAGTAAAAACATGCTTTAAAAATTTTGTGGTGTAAATCATTATGAGACAAAAATAAAAACATCTTTTGAAAGTGTTGGTGTGAATAAATATGAAAAAATAAAAAAAGGTTGCAGTGGAAAAAAACTTCACTTGCAATAAACACAAAGACAAAATAAAGACTTCAATAAAAATGAATAACAGAAAAAAGTGGGTTAAAAATAAGTCAGCGTAAAAGCAAGAAGAAAAGTAAAAATAAAAGTGTCAGTTAAAATATATATATTTTTATGAAAAATTGATCTATTGTTGAAAAAATATCTTTATAATTATTTTTAATTATGGCAGGATCGGTCCTCCATACTAATCTGGAACAAAAAAGTGCTGAAACCTTAAAATGCTTTAAATCAAGATTTGAGAACTTGTTTGGAGTGGCTTTTGAAATTTTTTTTTAAAGCTGTTATTTATATTTGTTATGATAATTTTCTAATTCGATTTTGTTCTTTTTTTACTTTTAATTATCTATTTTTAATTATTTATATTCATTCTTTATTTAACTACCTCTTTACCACTGCAGTGTACTTTTCACTGTTGGTTTTACTTTTTATTATTTTTTTTACATGTATAACAATTTGTATTGTCTTGCTACTGAAATGTGCTTCATAAAAAATATAAATAACCTTTCCTTCTTTTACTTATAAGATATAAAATCTGCTCTCATTAGAAAAGGGGAAAGATTTTGGAAACGTTTTTAGATAAAATGATGTTTTTAACGTGGGATTTTAATGCTATCAGGTGGTGTTGGTCTATTTCACACTGCATCAAGTCTCTAACTCATTACTATAATACAGGTTCAAACATGTTTACAGAATTCATTCCTTCAAGCAGCAGGATTTCATACCATGCTCTCTGAAAATGACGTATTTACCGTTAAATTAAGCATTTCAGGTGAAATTGGGTCAAATCAGAGCAATGCATGCGGGTGTGAGATCTTCTTCCACCTTAAAATCTTCACCTGGCCTTTAAATTACAGAATTACTGCAAAGCACAGCAGGATTCCTGCACTGACACACAGGAAGTATAAGCTTGTTCCTTTGGGACCAGCATATGTGCCGTTTGTTTTCTTTGTTTTGGATCCGGTCATTAATCATCTATGAAAGGTTTTTTATTGCTACATTAATGGATGCGTCTCTTGGTAATACCTTCCAGGTGCAGTCTTTGTTAAAGGAGAAAAGGGCGACAAGGGGGACCAAGGACCGAAAGGAGAGAGGGGTTTGAGGGGTCCGCAGGGAGAAGCAGGCATCAGCTACAAGGGGGGAGTCGGTGGACACAAGGTCAGTGCAGTTTTTTATCTTAGCCCACCCTTTAAAGGGAAATGAACTGAGCTGAACAGCTGCAGTCAGGCTAATCAACACTAGAGGGAGCTAGAATCCATAAAGTCAAACAACCACATAAATGCTTATTCTTTTATAAATTGTACAGTTTAGTTTATATTAGAAGCTGTTTCTATGTTCATTGAGTTCTGTCATAGAGAGCTAGTCTTATTTGGATAATTCAGAACAATAAGAATATTTCAGGAAGTTGGAAATGAATTTCCTGTTGGGTTGAATTTTATTGATTGATTTTATTGATCTCACAGTGGAAACATTTACTTATTGCATCAGCTCAAATAGTCAAAGAAAGAAGAGGAATGTGAAAAAGGAAGAAAGTATAATGGGATATATACAGTATATACATTGTTTCCACATATGACAGTTTTTTGGTTTGTTTTTTTGTCTAGTTTGTTATATATATAAAAAAAAATCATAATTAAAAATTAAAGCCTAATATTAGACCAGGAAGAGTCTACAGTAGTAGTACAGACTTCATTTAACATATTATTTTGTTGTATTTTCAGGGAGAACCTGGTGAAAAGGGAGCAAAGGTATGTGATGGTTATCTCTCATTTTTATAGAAAAAACCTTCAGGTATTTGTTATTCTCAGTGAGATTCTTTTCAAAAAGAAATTTATCATTGAAAACAAAATCCTGGATTTGATGCTTCCTCTGATTCCTATGTCAAATTCACAATGTTTCTATTTTTTTCTTTTATTTTGAGTTCAGCAGTGCCACTTTTAGGTGATCTGTCAAAGAATAAAAAGGATTGGATTAAATCTCACTCCATCTTTGCTGTTGTAAGGGATCCAGTTCTTCTGGTGTGTTTAGGGGACTTAAGAGGATTAATAAGGTCAGACGTTCATTTTGGACGCAAAGGCCTGGCTGCTGAGTCCACCACTGTGCATGATACTTTGCATTGCGCTCATAGATATAGCTTGGATGCAGCTGTTTGGCCTTTGAAAAACATGCAGCGTAGCTATTTCGGTTGTGTTCCCAATCGCTTCCACCTTGTTGTAACAAAGTTAACAGTTCTCCAGGGATACTTCAATTACCCACTCAGGGGAATGAAGGCTATGCATAAGTTGCATCCTGGAATGAAAAGAACCTATTAATAAAAAACAGTTTACGTATTAATAAAAAATTGTAAAGCCTGTTTCTTTTCACAAATGTTTGCTAAGATCTTTTGCATGCCTGGATTGTATACACTTTATACACTATACACTCGTGAAAAAAGGTAGCTTTTCTTTAGCTATTCCCAATTTTGCGGTATTTTTTGAATGTGTCATTTTCTGACATTGCTCTCTGTAAAGGCTGGTTTATGCCCCCACCCTACCCATCCGCAGACAATCTGCTGCACTTCTCCAAAATTGTAGTTGACCGCCTACGGTGCCGCAGACAGGAGGCCTCTGATTGGTCAAAGCTAAATCCTTCTATGATGATTTTACCTGTAGCACTTTGAGATTTCTTTTCTTAAATGTGACGCGCATTACAAATAAAATGTATTATTATTGAATTTATTATTATCCGCTCTACACTGTGCGTATTTCCTGTTTGGTACCTTACCGGCTTGTTTTTTGTTTGTATGACTGGTGAAGATGGACCAGGTAGAAGAGCGAGGTTTGCGACAATGATGGGACCCTTTTTCCACCTGGATCCCCGCACTTTTTCGCCCTAATGTCGCTCCGTTGTCGCACAAACTTGCCCCTTTGCGTTTTTCCACTTCCTCACCGCATCGGCCCTATCTAAACCCACAGCTAACAATCTTCAAAATTGGACATAAATCAAAAATCTGCATCATAACTGCAGGAGTAAAATCAGCCCTTAACTCTGTATTTCTTAGCTGGCTGACAGTTATTTGGTGCCTCCACTGCATTGACCACCATTATTTTTTTTTTTCATTGTTGTCATAACTCTCCCTCAAATGTCTGCAAACTTGCCTGATTTTGATCCACTCTGTTCTGGGCAGCGACTCTTCATTTGCAGCATCCTTGTCAGTTCTTCGCTGTTGTGATAGAAAGAAGACCCCAGCCACAGTTTTCCATCTCCATGAGGTCACTGGCTTTATGCAAAAAAAAATTGTGCCCTCTGCTTGTTGCGTTCGTGTAGCAATCCCAGACAACTGTCATCTGTATAATTGGTTAGACCCTGAATATATATCATAAGATGACCCGATATTTTAGCAATGTTTTTAAGAAAAAAAAAAAAAAAAATTTATATTCAGGCTAATAAGGTATCTATTTTCATTAAAGCCTTAAATCCAGGCCACTTATATGATTTTTTTTCCCGATTTTGGTTTATTTTCTTTATATAAACAAACTGTTCGTTTCAAAAAGCTCCATTTCCTGATATGACATAGGATGAAGTGTCTGGGGAGACCTGGTCAAACAACAAGCCATGTTTAATGAACCTTATAGGCATTGAAGAGCCATGACATGCGCCAAACTAGGAACTAAAATTTGATGTTGGGGAATAAACAACAGATGGACTAATTTCTTACTATAAGCACTTTTTTTTTATGTCATCACTGCCCTATACACTTTAACCACTTGTTCTAACAAACTGATATAACAGACAGCTTGATTTTTTTTTTGCGCTGTTGATTAAAACAAATCTTTAATTAGTAGCTATGCTGGCATTAGTTTGACGGGAGAGCTTTGGATATTAGCTTGACCTACTGGTTAATGTTTTATGCTGCAAAAAGCAACATGAAGCAACTGGTTATTGTTCCTAATTATAGCAGCCAACATTTCTTCATCTTAGACTTAGACTTAGACTTCTTTATTTGTCATTTTGTATGCACAGAGTGCATACAGAACGAAATTGCGTTACATACAGCTTATGAACGTTGCATTGATATTTCAAATAGCACAAGTTATACAATCATCTGACTGAATATACCTGCTCAAAAGTTATTGCTATTGTTCCGCTGCTGTACATCCGGACATATGAGAGCTTCATAAGACGATCTCAAACCTGTCCTTTTTCCCAGGGGAGCGCAGGCTTTGGATATCCTGGCAAAAAGGGCGACACTGGCCCTCCAGGACCACCAGGCCCACCTGGTCCTCCAGGCCCTGCCACTGAGTATTCAGTTGGAAGTGATGGATCAGTTGTTTCAAAAGTACCTGGACCCCGAGGCCCACCTGGACAACCAGGTCCTCAGGGACCCCCAGGAGAGGATGGAGAACCGGTGAGTGGACCTTTGATTTTTTTTAAAAGTCTGAAACTGAAAAAAACAAAATCAAATTAAGGCCTTCGGTGGAAATCCTGGAAGTGATCAAGGTTTTTCTTTTATTCTTGCAGGGGGATCCCGGGGAAGATGGAAAAACCGTAAGCAGTTTAAGCTTTTTCTGGAAAAATTGTTGGAAAAATTAAAAAAGTCTGACTTTTATGCTTGATGTTAAACATATGAGCTTCTAAGATCATATCTGTTTACTAAAAAGGGGCCTCAGGGACCCCGAGGCTTTCCTGGGACTCCGGGTGATCCTGGACTGAAAGGCGAAAAGGTTTGTTACTCCAACATTTACCAATGTTAAAAGCTTTGTGTTGAAATCCTGCAGAAAGATGTTGTCCTAATAAGACTGGCACACACAGGGTGACCGTGGAGAGGGCCAGCCTGGGCCCCGGGGCCCCCCAGGACCTCCTGGACCACCGGGTACAGGATTCAGATCTGTGAGTTCATCTCAGGCTAATGTCATGATTTAATAAAACTTCCTTCGCTTTCTGCAACTGATTCTGAGTAAAATTTTTCAGACGTTTGAAGACATGGAGGCCTCTGGATTCCCCGATTTGGAATCCATTCGGGTAAGAAATAGAACGAATTTGCTGTGATTCTAAGAAAACATATTCTTATGGGTTTGAATTCATTTTTCTTAATGCAGGGACTTCCAGGTCCACCAGGTCCGCCTGGTCCCCCAGGTCTTCCAGGTTTCCCATCAGCAAACACAGCAGTGAGCTCTGGAGCTTCTGGGCCCCCAGGAAAGGATGGAGAGCCAGGTCAACCTGTAAGTGGAACCGTTTCCATCTGTATGTAATCAGGAGCGATTTGAAGGATTCTACTCATCTTGATCCTCTTGTTTTCATGCTGTTAATTTTTTTAAGCAGTTATGCTAATGATAGAACCGATTTAACCGAATCAAGTTCCAATAACCTAATCTTTTGGACTGAAGGGTCTGCCTGGTTTACCTGGTGCTGATGGTCTCCCTGGAGCTCCTGGTCCAAAGGGAGAAAAGGTAATGATTCGCTAGAACTAACACTTTCTTATATATTAAAACCCCAGATCCCATTAGGAGTTTAACGGAAATGTATACAATTATTTTTTTTTTTTTACATAAAATACGTCTGTAAATGTAAACAAATGGATTTTGGTTTAAAAGGCTGAATTGTAACGCTGCTGGTAGCCACCAATTTTAATTTGATTTAACAAAAAAATAAATAAATTGGCCTAGTCAACATGGAAAAAAATATTTATCTACTTTACTTAATAAAAATGAAGCAATTTAAAGTTATAAGTTAGTATTTATGGAAAAAGTTCCTACATCAGCGGCAGTAGTATGATAATATGTTACATACACTTAAAAAGTTTAAATTTCCCTGTGACTTATAAAGGATTTTATTTTTATTTCTTTAGGGAGATTCGGGCGAGCTTGGACTCCCAGGGGCAATCGGAGAAAAGGTTTGAATTATGATTTTTTTTTTTATTATTATTATTGATTTAACTAAAAGCTGCGTTGCATATTAATGTTGAACTTAATTTTAAAAAACCTCAGAACTTTATTAGATATGCTATAAACTGTATTTAATTTGAGTGGTTTTCAATTACAGGATCATATTTCTGTCATCATATGTAATCTCAGAAGTTTATTTACTGATTGATGCATATGTTTTGTTTTTTGTTTGGCCTCTAATTTTCAAACATATCACTCTCAAATTTAAAACACTAATTCATTAAATAGAACAATGTTTTTCTTCCATAGGGAGCTCCAGGAGAACCCGGTTTACCCGGCGCTGCAGGACAACCCGGACTGGCTGGTCTTCCAGGACCGATGGGACCAGTTGGTCCTCCTGGACCTCCAGGCCCTCCAGGACCAGCTCATCGGGTTGGATTTGTAAGTTCTCTTCTAGGTGTTTGTAAAGATTGCATTTGTTAGAGCTACTGAAGCAGAACTGTGGTGCCGTTGTTCCTGGAACAGGAGGTAGACCTGCAGGACCTGAACCTAATAAAGTGAATAAAATGCAGAGCGCCGCTAAAGTAATGAACCTACCTTTATAACAAACACTATAATAAATAAGAAAGGACTAATTAAACGGCCTAGTCAGTGGTTGCTATGGTGATTCCCGCCATGCTGTAACATGTCTATTTTGATATCAAACAGACATGTTTGATATCTTTCTGTAAGCCATTTAGACTCTAAGTGCTGATTATGCAAAGTTGGGCTGAGCTTCCTTGTTTTGCAACAAAATCTCATCACATTCTATGGAAAAACGTTTTCCCCATTTTGTTTTTATTTTTTCCAGTCACAAAAACTGGAAAACTAAAAGAACAGCACACTTTACATAACGGATCTACACATTTCTTTTATTCATTTTGATTTTTTTTTTTTTTTACCACTGAAGCAAACTGAAAGTGATGAGAAGAATGAATAGACTTACTTCAGTCCTCTTGGTCTGGTAATTTTAACTAGAACTTAGAGTGGAACGACGTTAATTGTTGAAACTGTAGACCGGAAGTCTTCAACAGGGGGTCAGTGACCCCTAGGGGGCCCACGGAGGTACTGCATGGGGGTCGCGAAAGTTTTTGTTGATTAGACTTTTTTTTTATGACATGTCTTTAAATCCACATTAACATGAATTCAACACACTGTAGTAAA